GAAGGCAGGGGATAGCATGCAACTTGGAAGCAACTCTTATACCTGAAGTAATCTGGTTGTGAAGTTAGTTCCCTTTAGTTATGTCTACATGAGACACTTAATGCCCATTGGACTAATTCTACTGTGCATTAGCGTGGCTGTCAAAAACCATGCTAATGCTCGGTAGGTCAATCCTGTGGTCATTAAGCATCACAGAAAAGCGTTCATCTGCACTAATGCGCAGTGATGCCAATTTACGTTGCATTAAGTTAGTACCTGTTATTACAGGTATTAAAGCTAATGTGCCATAATTATGGCGCATTAATGAACGTGTAGCTGTGCCCTTCGTAACTCATTTCTGAGGTCTGTGTGAGCACAGGAGGAGAGTAGCTCTGTAGTTCTGAGTAACATCCACCTGGGATTTGATGGGATTAATTGAGGCCCCATCTTGGTAAAATAAAGCTTCAAAAAAGGGTGCTCTTCAGTGGAGGCCTGGCCTATTGCTCTGTGCTTATTCAATGTCTGGATTAGCTGGCATGGATAGTTTGCACAATAGGTCTTATTCTTAGTGCCCAAGGTGTTATCATAATATAAATAATTAAGCCATATGAAGACAACTTGTTCAATAGATGTTTTTACTAGCCATCAGATTAGCATGGAGGCCAGAAGAGCTGCAGAGCCATTTTTTGTATCGCGTCTGCCATGAGACAGATGTTCACCTGCTTTCCTCGCTGCACTGACATCTGAAATATTTAAAACAAAAAAAGTTGGCTATGGTGACAGGCACAGACCCTCCCTACTACCCTGGAAATGAGTTGCTCTGTAAAATCTGCTGTACAACTTGGTTATGCCTGAGAAATATAGGAGAACGTTTGGCAAAAGTATATGGGATCATGTGGAAGAAGGGGAAGGACTGTGGGGTACAAACTTCTTATGTATTTGTAGCAGACTTACCTTTTGAGCTCCAGATGAGTCCTGGGCTTGAGATTCTGCATTTCTGATTGGTGGAGCCCATCCACCAATCAGAAGCAAGCCAGGGTAAGCAAGGCTGTGCCCTTTTCCTGAAGGGAGGGGGCAAGGAGCAGTCTGGACCTGGTTTGAGACTGCACCCTGCCAGGTCTGGAGAACTTCAGGGGTGGAGCCACTGAGGTGTGTAAAAGGAGAGCCTGCTCAGAACGCTGGGAGAGAGACGCGGCGAGGGATGGTAAGGAGAGAGGAGCTCTGGAGACGACCATCATTGAGACCCTGCCTGAGTCTCGACAGTGCACAGATCAGTGCACGGTGCTCAGGCTCTAGGAGCCTCTCAAGGCGGCTTGAACCTGCGAACCCGGCAAGCGACTGCTCAGACCCCATATGCTGCGCAGGTCGGCACACAGAGAGCTGGCCCTGGGAGCAACTTGAGGATGCTCAAGTTAGCACTGGCTCTAGGCCAAGTAACCGGAGCCCCACAGTGTGGCTCTGCATTAAACTAAAAGTGCCTCGGTGCCCAGAGCAGGGCCTGGGAAAGGGAAGGACCCCCAGTGTGAGGCTGGGGAACTGGAGCCAGTAAGGGCTCAGCTCCCGTGGGAGCGCCCTGGGTGCCCAGTGCAGGGCACCAGGCCATCAAGGGGAACTGGAGGTGCCGCTGGAGAGAGGCCGTTGCAGGACCGACCACCAGGGCACGAGCCTTGGCCGCTTCAGAGCAAGAGCGTGAGTTGCTGGGGAAGCGGGTCCCGCAGGGGAAGTGGGGTGGGAGAGGGTCTGCAGCCTCCACCCTCCTCCATTGTGGGAGGGGTGTGTCCACATCCTGGGGCCCCAAAGGGGAGGGGCTCCAGGGGACACCCCGTGGGATGCTGAGTGCACCCCCATATTTTGTGATTGTTGTTGTTTTGTACTGTAGAAGTTAAGGGTGCTCCTTAAGGGAGTTTATATAGGTTTATCTGTCTTCATTGCCTATATGTGTTTATTACCTATTATCAGAACTTACCTGTATTGTTGCCTGTGTATGTCTATGGTATTGCTACCTCAGCTTACCTGGGTTTATCTAAGTTGATGTTCATATGCATTTATTGTGTTGATGCCTTGACTTACCTGTTCCAAAGTGTTAATGCTTATTCTATGCAAGGGGGTTAATTATTGCATATCTTGTGAATCACCCTGTTCATGTTTTTGCAGTCCCTCAAAGTGGTGCAATATGTTGATTGCAGGTTATTGTATTATGTGTCGCATACTAATATTTAATGTTTCTTATTCATATTTCTTTATTGTAGCCATAAATTTGTATGTAGTTGAGCGCTTTGTCTTGGCCTAGCGCTGTAGAGAGGAGTGGGAACTGCTCCCAGATGGCAGGTCCCTCTCTCAGCACTCTTGCCTGACCACCATCCCTTCCACTGGTGGACAGGACACACCCCTGGGTGTACCTGGGCTACATATTTTTTTCTGTTCCTGTAGGGCCCTTGTGGTAGAAGAGGGGAGAGAGTCTTAGCTGGGGTAGGAAAGAGCTACTGTGGAAATGAGACTGGGAGATAAATTTGGGGGGGGGAAAAGATACAGACCTGTTTTGGGTCTGGAGAAAGGAGCTACTTGCATTGGGAAGAAGGAAAGGTAAAGTCATGTGGTAGGGAGTAGGATGGACCTGGGAATATCATGAGGGAAGTGGAAGGCAGTCTGGAAGTTTAATTGGGAAATTTGCAGTCCCTTCTAAGTAGCAGTCTATCCCATGAAAAGACCAACAGTGGGTGGATTGGTCTCCTCTCTTTCTCAGACACCACAGTGAAGGAAGTGTTGGTATGGAGAAGGGAAGACCAAATTTCTTTCACAGAAGGAACAAAACCGTTGCTAACCTCCTCCCTTCTGCTCCCATGGGTTGCTCTTGGTTCAGCATTGGGCCAACCTCCTGTATTCAGCCCTTTTTGTATTCTAAGCTTTGCTCTTGCTGTTCTTTTGGGGGGAGGTTTTCCAGTCTCCTCTCTGATAGGAGCCAGCCTAGCCTTTTGCTGTGACACTGGATGTCGTGTCTCAGGCTCCATTGGCTAAGCCCAGGGTGTCCAACATTAGAATGCATTCTCATGGGGGCACCACTGCCCAAGTGCCATAGAGTCATAGAAGAATAAGGCTGAAAAGTACCTCAGGAGGTCATCTAGTTCAAACCTCTGTTCAGGGCAGGGGCATCCCTGTCTAAACTATCCCAGGCAAATATCTGTCTAACTTGAACTCTAAAAGTTTCCGAAGAGGAGAATCCAGAACCTCTCTAGGTTACCTGTTCCGGTGCTTAACCAAAGTCAGAATATTTTTCCTAATTTCCAACTTAAAAGTCCCTTCTTGCAGTGTAAATGCATTGCTTTTTTCCTGTTCTTGGTAGACACAGAGGCAGACTAGCCATCACCATACTCTTTATAACGTAACTTCCTAAAGTCATCAATTCATAAAGCTGTGCAGGATTGAGAAACAGACTCTGAGCAGAGGGAGGTAGATAGGAATCTAGAAAATGGCTGCTTTTGGCTAGCTTGCCAAAAGTTAGCCAGGCTGTGGTTGCATGTTTTGCTGGTGTATCAGTACAATGCCACAAAGTAGGTTTTCTGCTGGTGTAACAGAAAGGGCTTGGGGAGGAGAGCACAGGAAGAACTGGCTGCTTCTGAATGCTCCAGGCTCCTCCTAACCCCATGAAGAAACTCAACCCTCTTGTTTTCAGCCTCAGGAATGATCAGCAGAGATGGTGGTTTGCGTTCCCAGATCTGCAGAGTTCGGGTGGCGGTGAGAACCTTGTTTACTCATCCATCATAACTATAATGACGAAGTGGGATGCAAGTCGGACAGAGGGGGGGGACCAAGAAAGAGAAGGGTGTATGCGTAGGAGATGAGTGGTCAGAGCTGAAAAGAAAAAGATGTTGTTTATGGTATTTGGAGGTGATTCAGTATGGACCTGAGAATGAGAAGCTGCTGGATCCTTTCTGTGCGAAAAGGAAGCTTGACTGGTGAATGTTTCCTCTCTTGTGACCCATTTGATTCAGACTTCAAGATAACACGGGCTACTCAAAAAATCTTCACTCCCTGCCATATCTTTACCTACCACTATGGGATAATTTACATGCAGTTGTAACACCCTCTCTCACTGCGCGCACACACGCGCGTGTGTATGTGCATGTGTTGGCAAGTGTTAAAACACAAGAGGTGTTTGGACCAAGATGAAACTGGTTGAGGAATGTGTTGGGCAGCAAGATACTTTGTTCTGAGCCCTGAAGAGGGGGGAAGTAGAGGAGGGGATGTCCTCTCCCAGGTGGATACCTTACCAAAGATCTTGCTTGGGAAAGCAAAGCATAGTTTTGAGGTTATTCTGGAGTTAGCCCTTGGCCTTCCAAAATAAGAGTTGTTTCCATTAGAACAGGGAGACGCAAAGCCTAGCTCTTGGCACTGTGCTGCCTTGTATTCCACACTATCCTGGCTGTAGAAATGCAATGCAGATATTCCCACAGGCCAGACACCAAGTCTGGTATTTCATTTGGGTCATGGTCATGCAAAATCTTAGATCCTTGCTGCTGCTGACTTTAACCAACAAGGCATCTGTTTGGTTGTTAGCATTTTCTCACAGTTGGGACTCCTGGTCTCCACTTCCAGGTCTGTGCAAATTTGGTCAAGTGGATGATTCATTTCTGCATGCCTCATCTTCTCTATGAGGAGGATAATCCTGCTTTCTGGACATTTTAAAGTGATTGTAGAGAGCCTTATCCTTCCATATCTTCTTACCAATAAAGACCTCAAATTAGTGCTGTTCAGGAATAATAGCCAAAGTCACAGAAAGTTTGGCACACCCCTAAAATCAGTATTGAGGTGTCCTGTTTCTTGAGCATCTGATGGCAGTATTTGCACTTAGGTGGTGTGCAGAGCACTTGTTGGCATCTGCATGAAACTGGCCAGTCACATGGAGCCGATGCCTCTATTTCCAGCTGTTTCTGACTGCCCAGGCTCTTTGCAGCAAATCAGTCAAGAAAAAAGGGAGGGGGAAACATGCTTTGGAAGATTTTAATGTATGGTTTCTGTCTCAGATCACAAGTATCACTTGGCATATAATTCACTGCCCCAAGAACATCACACAATATGACCTGGAGGGCAGGGGAGTCGTCCAAGAGACAGTCCTTCTGTTAAGACACTGAAGAGTGAGTATCCACGTTTCAAGACTCAGTAGCAGTTCACTCCTTTCCAATTAAAACCCAGAGATTGCTCCCAAGTGTCAGATTGTTTGTTTATAGAGATCCTCCTCCTTGACCTGGATTGATTTCTCCCCAGGAGAGGAGAATCCTTCAATCCTTCTTCTCAGCTCAGATGCTTGGAAGACCAATGTTGCATGCATAAAATAAACAAGTCTTTTTGTATAAACCCTGGCAGAATCTCTGTTCAACAAGCCTGGGAAGACCCTGTTTTTGGGACCAGCAGAGATCTCGACTCCCACAAATCTCTTTGTTCCGTTAAAGGGAAAACAGCTTTTTTAATCCCCCGACATGAACATCTAGAACATAAACACAATCCCCAGCTCAAAGGAGGTGTCAGTGACCTCAAGCCAGGACTTGTAAACTCCTTCCCTTCTCCTCCCACTTCTGGTACAGCATGCAAAGTTTAACCTCTTGTGCTCAGGGAGATCTGCTACAGACTCCCTGGGGGATAACACCTTGGATGCTTCAGTTCAACAGATAGGCAGGGTAGCCAGTAACTTGTACAGGGACATTTTCTCAAACACTGGCATTGCAGTGCCCCTGGGGTCTTGCATACTTCTCTCCAGCCAGCATTCTTAAACGTGGCCCAGAGGGATTGAAAATGCAGTGCTCCTTTGTGGGGGGAAGGTACAGGAAGCAAACATGATTCAGCCACGAGGGCTCTGGACTAGGAGTTTGGAGATCTGGGTTCTCTTCCTACCTCTGCCACCCGCCCTCTGTGTAGCCACGGGCAAGTCACTTCATCTCTCTGTGCCTGCATCCCCTCCTGTCCTTTAGTCTGGTGCTTTAGATTGGAAACGTATTGGGGTGGTGATTATGCCCCCCATGATTTACATGCCCAGTGCCTGCTACAGTGGAGCCCTGGTCTCAGTTGGCTCTCTAGCTGCTATGGACTACAAGCAGTGTTTGACATTCACAACCGAAAGGGAGAAGGCATTATGTTGGAGGAGTCCCAAAGGAGAATTTTGGGCAAGGAACCTATATCAGCTGATCCTTCCCACCAGCCCAGGGTGGTAATTGAGAACACAGTTGTGGAGGGAAACTGCTCTGGCACTCCACAGGTAGATGCCACACCTTCCCTGTCTGCAGTGTTTATAGGTTTGGTTGAACAAATTCAATGCTTGCTGAAAATACCTTGCAGGCACTGAATGCCAGCTGTGCAGCAGAGTTTTAAAGATGGGTCTGCCTCTTCCAGTTGCAGCATCAGCCCACATCAGCCAGGCATCTAAGTGCCTATGTGCATGGCTGGGAGGTAGCAGCCAATCAGATGACATTTCTGATCGGTACCCTGTTGATTTTTACTGCTCTTGTTTACTTTCCTCTTGCCAGCTGGATGCTTCAGTGTTTGTTTGGCAAACACTTTCTCTGGAGTCTGTGATTAGGGATGGTTTAGTCTGACAGAACTCTGTAAAATTGCCCTGTCCTTCATTGTCAGCAAACCCCTTCCCTCCCTCGCCCTTTGGTTGCCATCTCCCATAACCACAATATTTTGTGTGCGCTGCGAATTGATTTTTCTCCATTGTAATCATCATCCCACCCTTCCTTGCCTGATTCATTCCTCGAGGTTGCAACGCCAGAATGCTGACAGTGGAGTTCTGCTAAATCAGAAGTCTCGGGACTGTAGGGAAGTGGTGACTATAACGATGCTATGTTTTTTGTCTAGCACCTTTCATCCAAGAATCTGAGTGCCCCAGGATCTCAGTACCTGTGTGAGGCTGGTCTGTATTATCCTCATTTTGCAGAATAGGAAACGGAATTGCAGGAAGGAGAAGTAATTTGCCCAAGGCCATGGAATGAGTCCAACAGCACCAAGAACTGAATCCAGCTACCCAGAGTCCTTGTCTCCTGCTGTAATCATGTCATGGCACGTAACTAAATGCCTTCAGAAGAAAGGATGTCAAATTTTCCTTGTCAATTCACTTTTAATGGCACTTCAACACTGCGGCAAATTCAGTCCTGAAAAATGGCCTTCAGCTTTACTCCCCAGTTGTGATCAAGTGTCCATAACTTAAGCCATGGAGAAAACATTACCTAAGCAAACTCTTGTCAGCCTATGTTGAAGCCACCCTGGGGAAGAAGCACCCAAGAGGAAATGGCCCTGGCCATTTAATGAAAAATGATTAGCAAGGGGCAAAAATCTGTCCTACAGCCCTAGGAACAGAATAGCAAACTGGGGGGCAGGGAAGGGCAGGTGGAGATATTTTGTATAAAGGCCAGGATCAGGTAAGAACTTGATTCTCTCCAGCCAGTGTTCTTCAACATGGTCCAGAGGGATTGAAAATCCAGTGCTCCTCTGTGGGGAGAAAGGCAGGAGAAGGTATAGGAAGCAAACATGATCCATTACCCTTCTCCAGCTGAGCCCTGTCCTTTTCCATATTGACTGGACTAATTTTATAGTTTGGGGTGGAAACCATATGGAATTCAGCCATTGCATGAAGTTTTCAACCCAAACCAGGAACATATGTTGTCTTCCATGTAGTTACATTTTGAGATTATTGTGAGGGGAGATGGAAAGTGCACAGTGCAAAACCCTTCCACGTGTCCAAAAGTTGGTGTGAGGCCAACTGGTAGTACTGCAATTGTACTCCCCTGGCATTCACAACACACAGATGTGTGCCCGCTGGTTCTGCTTACCACAGTGGGGGATCTAGAGATTTAGATTTATTTTTTGTGGGGCTTTCAGAGCTGGGTCTAAGCCACAAAGTTGAGGCTTCCTCCAAATGGAGGGTGGAAAGATGTGTTTCAACCCACCTTGACTGTACACAACTACACATAGTCCTTGATCTACCTGTGTCCACATCTATATGCACAGTCTAAGAAGTGCTGGGGCTCTTGAATACAGTGAAATATGCCCCCACCTTGTTCTTCTTGTCCACTGCTCTTCTCCCTTCTTGCATGCTTTATTCCTTTTGTAAATAGCCTATGCCAAATCAAGCTTCACAGCTGGCTCTGCTCCACGTGTTTGTTTTCTGTACACATGCAGCTTTTGCCAGCTCCATTGCACTGTTGCTCTAAGGGGGGAAAGCAGGGGCTGGTGGGGAGAGAAACAGGAGCAGGCTGCTGCTTTCCAAACTCTTATTTGTTTAAAGCTTAAGACTGTTTGAAAGATCTTTTGGAATGAGGGGGAAGTGGCAGGGGGGGGGGGGGGGAATGAAGAAAGAAAACTGTGTGTCAAGGAAAGCAAACTTTCAAGAGTGGGAGTGGGGAATGAAGAAAGTAAACTGTGTGTCAAGGAAAGCAAACTTTCAAGCTGGAGCCGCTGCTGCTGCTTATTGTGTGAAGAGCCAGCAGAGATGCTCTTAACGTCTCACTCCTTGGGTCTATTTGAGAGAGCATGCAAGTGTCAAGGGGGAAAGTGTAAAGAGGAGGGGAAAGCAGTTGGCTACTGCTCCATGTCATGCATTATCATTCTTCTACTGTGTATGTTATGACTGTGATAGTCCAGGGAATGTGAGAGAGGCAGGTTTGAAAAAGTGACTTAGTATCTTTTGTGGGAACCAACTTTATAGTTGTTAGAGAGATTAGACTAGTTTTTTGGGGGGGGGGTTGAAGCCCAAAACCTTGTCTAACATTTCTCCCAACTATACAGCTGGTCTAATAAAAGACATCACTTCACCTCCCAAATCTTGCTTTGTGCATCATTATTGCTCATTGTAAGTGGTTCAGGACAGGGAGTGTGTCTACCTGTCTATATACATGCAGTATTTAGTGTAATGAGGCCTCAGAGCTGTTCAGGAACCCTGGAACAATGCGAATAATAATAGGATTAGTACCAGGGGCTTTAACGACCTATTAGGTTTAGCTGCTGTGCTTGTTAAGGCAAGGGCTAGTGAATGTTGTGTTCCAGGTTAAACAGGAATAACGCCATGCTGTTATAAGGTACATTTTGTTCATTGACTTCAAAACATAATGTGAAGTTTTCATTATTTTCCTATAAGGGGTAGAGAAACTGAGGGACAGAGAAGGAGGTGACTTGCCAAAGGTTACACGGCGAGTTAATTGCAGGACAAGGAATAGATCCACAGTCTACATGTTCATTAATGCACTGTAATTACAGTGCATTAAGTTTAGTACCTGTTATTACAGGTACTAACTTAATGCTCTGTAATTGGTAGTACTGCACACTAGCGTAGATAAATGCTTTTTTGTGTGACACTTAATGCCCATTGGACTACTCTACTGCACATTAGCAGGGTTTTTGCCAGCTATGCTAATGAACAATATAATTAATCCAGTGAGCATTAAGCATCTTGTGTAGACGCACCCACTGATGTTTCAGCTATTGGACCAAACTACTTTATGGAGGAATCCCTTTCCCACCTATTTATATCCCCACAACACAAGTGGGAAGAAATGTTTATTCTAAATATTAGCTACTGAGGATGGCTTCCTTTCTTTTTTTGTGTCCTTGTGACAAGATATTTAGCAGAATTTGCAGATTCATCAGAATCTGACCGGCCACACCATCCATGAGCGCTCCTGCTGTGGCCTCTAACTTGAAACCTCTGGGCTGTCAATCATGCACCATAACACCCATGACGCATCGCCCCTGCTGAAGACAACTAGAAATAAGATCCTGAGCTTGGGTTGAATAATATGGCAGACAGATGGGATATTAGATTTGACTGCCTATGTAAGGTATTTACCTGTCCTCCATAGCCTTAATAGCTCAGTATTTCATTTTATTATTCTCATAGCACCCCTCTGAAATAAGGGTGTGTTGCTATTCGCATTTTGAAGTTAGGGAATTGAGACACAGAAAAATTAAGTGGCTTGCCCAGGGTGACATGGGAAATCTGTGTTGAGCTCCTATCTTCCCAGTCCTTGATTAGCAACTTCACCACTGCATAATCCAGACCAATGCTTGGGTCTAGTGCATTCACTCCTACAATTTGTTCCTCTCAGTTACTATGCTGTCTGGTCTGAATCTGAACAGGTGAAGATGC